CCTGCGGGCTGCCAGCCCGCAGCTCAGCCTTGCCCCAAACCTGTGACCTTAAACCCCAATCCCTGATCCCTAACATAATAGAATCCCTTTGTTTTCCCCTATATAACTCCTATATAACCTCCAAACATTTCAAGAGTACCACCCTTTCAGCGCAAAGCACGGGCTCATGATCCGTTCGACGGCGGAAGAAGCCTGCGCAGACCGCCAGTGTCAAGGATGCGGCAGCCAAGGCAATGGCCACGTTGCGCCACACCTGCATCTTACTGGTGGTTAGTATGGAGTATGGGAAGATGTGGTATAAGGATTATATAGGAACCATAATGCACCATAATATATGACAATATGTACAATACACTAAAGAAAACAATGATATACTATAGTATACAAGGTTCAGGATATTTGGGGACTATACAGGCAGGGCGCTGCATGATCATGGGGGAGTTGGTGTAGAAGTAAGACTAAGGAGGGTCCATCTAAGGAATGCAAGGGCTCCTACAATGTTAAGGTGGCTTCGCAGGCAGGTCCGTTTACGTTTTGGATGCCAGGCTGTTGTAGGCTGAAGCAGTCTCTCAACGAAATGAACACATGGCACATGGTGGGTGGAGCTTCTCGTCGTAGGTGGCTTCCTGCCTGTTGGGTTTTCTCAAATTGGCAGTTCGCTGGAGGGATTTTGGCTGCGTTCCTACAGCTGAGACTTCGCACGAACTCCTATGTAAGAAGGAAGCCACGCAGAGAAATGCCGGTCGGCTCGCAGATGCGGCGAAACGTGGAACTGTCTCACAGGTCTCCTCCCTGACATCCCTAACCTGAACTCTCCCCGCGCCTTTTTGTTGGGCGTTTGATGGGACATGCTTCCACTGCCATGCTCCACATGAACAAGGAAGACACTACAACACAAGAGCACTAACGTGACCGATCCGCTCATGAGGCACAGGGCTTCTTAATCCCCGCAAATTCCCGCCTCCTCCTTCCCTCCCTCACGCTCCAAGAGGTAGTGATTCGACTTCAGGGCTACAGTGCACAGGTCCCCTTGGGGGCGCCAGCACCTTAGCGAAATCGGGGGGGTTCATGCTTTACGTAATCTCAGGCGTGGAGATGTAAGGGTTCTGTTTGCAGCACCGCGCACAGTTGGAGAGAGCGTTGGCTAAGAGTCACCCTGCAGCGCCCTGCAAGAGCTCTCGCATGCACAATAGCAAATCCATCTACGGGTGGAGGTTGAGGCAATCCAAGTAAGTAAAGCCAAGGTTCTCTGCTCCCTGCACAAGGCCTTTCCTGGGCCAAGTTCTTGTCTTACTGCATGACTCATGGATGGATCTCTCCGAAGCAGTCACTGCAGACTTTATTCTTGCTGACACAGTTGCGGCAACCAGTAAGCTAGAGTAGCCCACTAGCTCTCACAGGCTCCTTCGCAAGACCTGAAACCCGAATGCTCGACCAAGCGTCGCCAAGCCCAGGTCCTGAAGATCATCCCTCGGCTGGAGGGGACCCTTTGACAGTCTGCTGCGTAGTAGGAAAAGATTCGTTCAGCACTTCGGTTGTAAATGCTGACTTGGTACATCCTGACACCACAAAGCTACAATGACAAGATCATGAAGATCAAGACAAACCGAATGCCCCTCCACTCAACATGTGCCAGCGTGAGAGGGTGCAGGCGAGGTAGAGTAGTTTCTCTTCCCGGACTCTGCCCACACAGACCATGAAATGCCAGCCAGCAACTGTACTTCTTTCCAGCGGCTGTAGATGGAAGCCTGCGAACAAGCACAAGCAAGCGAAGGCCATATAGTTGCACCAACAATATACAGTTGACTTTAATCTCAGGTAATCATAGCTGGAGTCAAGGCGCTTTGGGCGCACCATATGCATAGGCACCTCAGGCTTCCGATTTGATTCCGCCGTCCACACGAAGCACACCACAGCATGATTCGCATTCAAGACCATGTCCGATGGTCACAGATGAGGCGTGATGATGCAACATCTTGCACGATCTCTGCGAAACAGAGCCGTTACGATCTGCTTAACGTCTAGGAGAAGGCTTAGACATTTGGCTAATGCTTGCCGCCGCTGGGACCCTTTTGTGTTTGTAGGTTGCAAGTGCACTCTGTGACGGCCCGAAAGGGCCCAGGCATGGGCATCCCACGCATTGCTGCATTGCTTCCCAGGCACACCTCACGCCCTCATCCAGCCGGACCACGGCCCATGGAAGGTAACCTTGGCAAGGCAAAGATGCAGAACCAAAGCCCTCACTCCTCACCAAAAGTCCTCCAGATGGACAGTTCATTGGGCCTCATTTAGAGATAGCGCCTGCTAGCCCCTAGGCCCTAGCCCGTGCAGTATGGCTAGCAAGGAGCTGTCATGGCATCGCCAAGCGATCGGAATCCAGCGAGACCCGACCATCTCCCCCGGGCCGCGCGGGTGAAAGAAATCTGAGAAGACAGTGCATTCTGTGAGAACATCTGAGATCACGGCCATCATCAAAGACAGAACGATGGCGTCTGCTTACTATCTTGCAAAACTCAAAGACGTGCAACTTCAAGACGCGTGCGAGAAAAACACCACCATTCTTTCAACTAGCATGAAGGCATACGTTGCAACATCATCACGATAAAACAACCAACGGACACACCCCAGAGTGCAATCTCAAGGAAGCAGTTCGCAGTCTGTCTATCAAATTTGTCGCTAAGGGATGAAGATTGAAGCACTCGCTGCAGCAAATGTCGGCTGCTACACTCTTGGTTGGGTGGTGTGTTCCTATCCCTTTGAAAGGTTGACTGCTCTCGAGAGAAGGCCAGGCACGCATGAGAAGCCTCCGGCCAAGTGAGAAAGTGGAGTCCTCAGCTCCAGCGAAGGCAGGTGGAACCCGCTCAAAAAAAGAATTTCCACTCGGGTTCCACCTTTGAGATGCACCTTTGAGGATCTGATACGCAAGCTGTTCGGGGCTTTGGAAGCCATGCTTCAGAATACCACGCGACCCTGCACTGACGAGCTGCCACGCCAAACTTCATTCAAGCCTGACCCCTCCTATGAAAACAAAACTTCAGTGAGTCCTGCAGCATCAATGCTCCCAACCAACAGTCCGTACGGGAGCATGCATGCGCACTTTTGCACTCTGGTTTCCCTGAGCCAAATCCCTGGCTGTAGCCAAAGCCAGGTCTCGCCGCCTACAGCCTGGAACTTCACTGTAGAGACTTGCCTCAGTCACGGGAAGCGCTTGTGGGCGGCTGGGGTTGCGAGATCTTGCCAGGACTACACCACGCCTTGCAATCATAGACTGGCACAGGCCCAAAGAGTTGTGCCCGAGCTGCCCGCAAAGCCCTTGGGTGGAGTTGAAGCGAGCGCTGTCGATGATGTCCTGGAGGCTTTGTCCTCAGCAGCTTGTGAGTTGTTGGACAAGAACCGTCCTGTCTCCTACTGCTACCTCTGTGCAGACTAAAGCAGTCGTCACGTGCTTTGAGACCCAACCAAGTCTTGCCAGGACTCCAGGGGCATTGTCTGGTGCACCCAAGCACTCGGCAAAGTCCTGGTCCTCACGACTCTCGCCACTCACAAAGGGACTCAAAGGTGGAGCCTGGAACTTGGAAAGTATTGTTCGTCCATCACCTGCAGGGCTTCCGACCTGTGCGAGCCTTTACCACCAAAAGGCAGAGCTACACTGGGCTCCTCGTATCTCTCTTGGTCGGAGTCTAGGCGGCAGGTGCCCCTGTAGGCGACACCCAGCTCCCTTAGCTGCAAAGATCCCAATACGTTACCGGTTCTTCCAGTAGGGTTCCGGGCTTGCATGATCTTGGGGATTTGGGGTTCGCACCGGCTGTATTTTCGCAGCCAGAAATTATGACCCTTCGGTGCAGTGGTCGGCAGTGACATTAAGAAGACAAGTAGCAAGTGTAGCGAGGCTTCTAATCCAAATGCGAGCCATCTGTGTGATAGCCCTGGCTATTGTTCAGCAAGCTACCTGAAACTGAACGCAAAACATGCCAAGATTTCGGGCATGCACTCCCGGCATCTTTGACAAAAACTAAATCAGACAGGCTTCCTTCAGCCTACTAGGAGTAGTACGTCGTTGTGGAACAGTCTTTGGTCAATGTGCTCTTCCGCTAGAATTATAATTGCCTGAATACCTGAAGCCAACTGGTAGCCAGCGATGTGGAGGAACATGCTTGTGCAGAATTGCACAAGAACTTTCTCCAATGCGTCAGCCCAGTGCAAAGGTGGGAGGGAAACTACAGAGCCTGGGATGGTTTGATCCTGCTGTGGAATCATCACGGCAGCTCGAATCCATGCTAAATTGTGCGCTTGCAATGCTGCACTACATACAATTCATGCTGCTAGCTGCTAGCTGCTAGCTTGCCATCTAAACGAAAAGTCACCTTGAAAGGCCCAGGCTGCGCGGGCCACGCGGAATTGCTTCTTTCAATGCCGCACAGCACAACCCGAAAACACCCCACTTCTAAACCCGCAAACATGAACACGGCCCCAGGCACTGCACAGAGCAGGGAACCGCTTTCCAGGGCAGTGCTGCCCAGGCGCGAAGCCGGGCGGCCTCCGAACAGCAAAAATTCACCTTGAAATCTAGATATGGGAGCTTCCTGAAATCAGGGATATCTCTGTGGCTAACCCAATGAAAAGTACTATACAGCAATGGGAACCCCAACACGTAGATTTCAGGTTGCGCAGCACAAACCAACGCAAGGCAGAATGGCAGGTTCAGGCTGATGCGGTGTTGAGAACATGCCAAGGGCGGAAAATGTCATTTAATCATGCAAAATCTGATCAACAGCTCCCATGCAATCATGATCATGATCATGAGATATCCTGAGTTTGATTCGCAGCCTTGCGTACTTATTAACATTACCATCATGCTTGTTGCTTGCTATTCGTTGCGCAATACGGAGTCGCAAAGCAGTACAAATCTCCTTTCCCAGGCATTTGGCATGAGCAATACACCGCACTTCTTGAACAGGAAACGTACCAGCAAGTCACTACTCACCGATCATGCGCTCAATCTCTGTGCGGTCCGTCTTGCATCAATTCTATCCATTTCGATGGTAAGGGCTGTCAGCATCAGCTTAAACGGACCTTGGGCCTTCGATTTCGAAGGGCTGGAATGGTGCAACTGCCGCATGCACTGTCTCGCAGACACAGGAAGAAGGGTGTAGTGAGGCTGAGTTCAAAATTGGTGGTATCCGAACACCTGGATCATGCATGCAGGAAGGGAACCTGAAGTTGGGGAACTAGGCAACGGGGAGCAAAAGAGGCTGAAGTGATGATGATGATGATGATGATGATGGCCCCGAGGCCTCCGTGGTTGCACCGAAGCTTTGCACGAAACCTGGGGATGTTGCGTCTCTTGTGAAGGTGTCAAAACGATAGCGCATAGGGAGTGGAGAATGACCATCCCAAACTCCAAACCGATGGATACCTCTCTGGTCGGCCAGAAGGGCAGCCTGTAAGGTGCAAGTGACAGATATCGTGGCCGCTTTGGCCCTGGCAATTCAAGCGCGCAAGTTTCGACGGCAAAATCTTTAGAATATGCTGAACTTCTGAAATCATAGGGAACGGGGAACAGGCACGGGACACTTCCTGACCTTGTCATAAGCTTCCAGAAACGGCGGTGATAAGCTCACTCTCAGAAGCCAGGGCTGCAACAACCATATAAGCCATTAAAATTGTCAGACGGGGAATTCCTAGCAGCAAATACGCACCTGTAGGTAAGCCCCAAAAGGCAAAAACACGAATTACTGTTGAGCCCAGCAGCCAAAGGCTGCCATGACAGACAGAAGAAGCGCAACGAAGGCGGCGATGTCCTGCTCGAAGAGCTGTTCCGGGTTCTTTCAGATGCAGAATGTGACACACAGGCATGAATCATATTACGAGGAACACCGCGCAAAGAAAATGCAAAGCTATGCTTCCCGGGCCTCAAATCCTGACTGAGACAAGACCCTGAAGTCTACGCACACAAGCAAGATCTTCAGAACACAGCACTGCTCGGGTCCGGAAGCACGTGCAACGGATCCCATGGCATCTTCACACCCAGACGGCCTGCTTGGGGCTGGCAACTTGCCGCTGCAATTTGAAACGCACCTTCCTGTTGCGTGCCAATGGATTTTGTGGGACCTGCAAACTGCACCACAGCATTCAGAGCAGACCGTAGACCCTTCAATCATACAGACCATTGACTTGGCTGACCCTGAGGCCCCTGGCTACACCATTGTATTTATGGAAAGTTGGAGGTTGCTCGTTGCCATTGGAGCATGGGAAATCTGTCAGATGACTATAAACTTCGCCTACTCAAACGAATGATGTCAAGGATCCAGGACGGTAATGGCTTTTAAGCTCACGAAATCAGCCCTGCACCCAGGAAAATGGGTAGAGTGAGACCCCCTCTATGACGAAGGAGCTGGTGCCCACCCACTCCGCCTGTCTTCACTTTGCCAGGAGCAAGTTACTGCCAGCAGCCAGCCATGAGCAAAAGAAATGATGGACGGTTCTCTCAGCTCTGCGCAAGCTATGGTCTTGGGGGCCATCTAGTATCTAGCAGCCTTGAATGCCGAGGCACATGGCCCAAGGTTACTATCAACTTCCTGGGTTTGACACTCTGACTAGGCGAGTCATCGGGATGCTTGGTATAGACAGTTGTAATTGTAGATGCGGCCACTGCGCTATCAGAAAGGTGTCACGCTAAAGGAAGGCCGCCATTCCTTGTGCAAGGGCCTGTTCTTCAGAGTAATACTATAAATTAATAGAATGATAATAATAACAATAATGGCAATAGTAATCGTAATAGGAATGGAAATGGTAATAAAAGGAATGAGACACTGACCGTTTCTACCCATGGGGGCTGGCAGGCCGTTCTTTGACAGCCCACTGAGCCGGGAAGCAAACGAGAACTGCGTACAGTGCGTTGCTGTTTGTTCCAGCTTTCCCTTCCTGCTTTCCCCTCCTGCTCTTGTCTTTCAACTCTAGACCAGCCCTCTGAGCACTCTCCTAAGCAAGCACGTGTACGCATATGCATGCTGCCCCCCAGAAGTTCTGTGATAACACAAAGACTGAATACTTAGAATGAGGCCGAGGTCCCTAGGCCCTAGGGTCATCATGGAACCGTACCAGGATTCAGGGGGTGGTAGTTTTACTTGCACAAGAAATCAAACCAGAAACATGGTTCTGCAGCAAATTTCCCTGGACGGCCTCGCTGCTCATGCGCGAGGCCGCGGAGCCCACAGCCGCAGCCTCCCCGCACGGCAGGCAAACATGCAGGCCCTGCCTTGGAGATACATATGGATATACATGCATGCATGCATGCGCAAACATATGTTGTATATGTACATGTTACAGGGAGTGTTCAGGTTCCACATGCTGTTTAGGGGTCTTTCGGCTGGCGCCGGCTCGTGAGCCTTCCCTTTAACAGGTCTGCCGAGCAAGGAGCTTCCTTAATTAAGCGAATGCTTCTATCCTATCATCTATGAAAGCTCCTACAGTCTGGACCAAACATCAAACTACTCTCTACAAGAAAATGTCCACCTGCTGAGCAGTGTCTGCATTGAAGTTCTGCGGCGGGTGTGGCTTATCAACTCCAAGCCTATGGACAACAGGCCTTGATCGCAACAAAACTCACCTTCGGGATCCACACTCTAGGTCTAGGTCCATAGAGGCTGAGGAAACAGACTTTATCTTCGGGGGCAGCTTCTGTAAATCAGCGCCTCAGGAATTCTACCAGCTTTTTTCTAGTCACTCTGGCAGCGGCTAGTATAAATCGCAAGGCGCGAGATACGGCCATTAAAGGCTCAAGCCTGTGAAGCCCTCCACGAGGGGACACAGAGCTCGAGCTAGAGGCCATTGGTCCAGGAGTTTGCCAGTGACATTCAGATACTGCACAGTCTGGATAGATGCCTTTACTAGCTAACATCTGGCGAATCGCCATCACCTTGAAATTACGTACCAACAACTGGTAGATCTTACTTTGCCGTTACCGATTCGCTTTCTCATCACTGCTTAAATTGCGTGGACCATCTTTAAGAAAGACGGCGCGCGCGCTCTCACGCCGCAATTTCCGGACGAAGTGAGACGAGTGTCAGGACCTTAGCAAACAGTCAACAACCCTGCTGCTCTGCTCAATGCCCATGAAACTACTGTAAGGATGCCCTCACCCTAAATCGGCATGTTGGGACATGGAGAAGTTTAGCAAATGCTGCCGAACAGCATTCTCTTGCAAGCTCTTGAGCTCTAGATAAGGGTGCATATAGGATAGAGAGTTCTAGTCTGGAAGGAAAAGAAAGCTGCAAGACTTTTTACGCGAGCCCAAGGTTGTCTGAGGTACGAGCACCACTCTTGGGGGCGGCCATTTTCGTCCGAGCATTCCAGCTAGCTCCTTGACACAAAACGGGACATGATCTGTAAGCATCCGCTTGCTCACATGGGCACGGGTGTTGTCACTATCAAAAGCGAACAAACTGAGCCTGCCTGTCCAAATTGTGTTGCAGTTGAATGAATGCATGGCAGCGTGGATGTCAGAGGACCGGTGGCATTAGTAATAGTCCTTGTCGGAGCAGTAGCAGCCATCATCCGTGTCCTGCACCCAGTGCAGGCCACTAGCCCAACAGCTAAGCCACATGCTGCCGGTCTCAGGGTCACTATCGCGCCTAACCCAGGACTGAGCTCTCGCACCCCCTAAAAGCTGACACCAAGAATCCTACGTTTGCTCGACTCTCTGCAGATTCCCATATTCAAGCGAATATTCATTCTCAATCAGCAGGTACCCTTGGAATTTGTTAGTATCGGCAGAGCACCTGTTGGAAGGTCTGCGTAGTGGTGTGCCCTACTCTTCAGCCGTTCAGAGGCAGACCTTGAAGACATCACCATTTCACGGCATGCAGCACGCTTATGACCAACATACATTTCCTGTTGAGCACTGTTAATTCTGCATACAGTCAGCCTCGTTGACCAAACGGAAGAACGAGTCGTGGTCAATGCCCTGCTCTGGGCGCCGGCCAAGACCGTCGCAAATGAGCCGGTATTCCTGGCGCATCAGGTGTTTTTGGAAATGCTGCTGCTGCTGCTGCTGCAGCTGCTGCACTGCTGCTGCTGCTGCTGCTGCTGCTGCTGCAGTGCAGCTGCTGGTGCTGGCAGTGCTGTCAGTGCTGGCAGTCTTTGGGCAGTTGCGCAGGCATCGTCGCACATAGGGTGCAGCAGCAGAAGCAGCACTAGTACCAGCAGCAGCAGCAG